TGTATAGGTCACATTCGCATTCAATATGACACTACGATCCCGAACACAAGTCGAATGAGGGGCGCATCCCTCAGATGGGAATTATTAACGCTCAAGACTTTATCCTTTATCCCTTTAGCCATTTGTCAACATAATGTTTATTGTTTACATTGAAATTTGACACTATACATTGGAAATTGCCTGTATGCTATGCTCCTATGCTATAATTTACTGTATTTACATGTGCAATCTTAACAATCTAATTGACATGACTTTTACTCTCGGAAAAGAGTTGGAGGATGCTTCGAAAGGAAGGATGGAATTAAAGCTCCAAGTGTGACTATCACTTATGAAACCCCCTTTGCGAGGGATTTCGCAAGAATCTTCCTCATTCTGTGACACTCACCGTCTTCCCCCTTCTCTGAGCCGGTGTTAATTCTCCTCACCTTCCCTTTATTTATGCTTGATCTTAACCCCGCCTTATTCCCTCCTTGCTTTCGACTCCCTTACTAATCCTGGATTGCTGTTATCATTTTAAGAATATATTTCCCCTCTGAACATGGCCCCTTTTCAACTTTCATCTCCCCATTGCTCCAATTCCTAGGGCTTCGTTTCGTTTGAGACATCGCAACCACACATTAGGACCAATACAATTGAAGCGGCGCTCACTTGAAAAACTCACTAGTATCCTTGAGATCCTTGAAGAATTCCCAAACCGGATGAGATTTCTTTCGTCCAGCATTTCGCATCCATGGCGAGTAACCGGGTAGCATATCCGACACTAAACAGGCACTGTAGCTAGTTAGTTTGTTCTGAATTGAGTCAGCGCCATGATTGGCTGCTGCCAGAGGATAAGGCTGACCTTTCACGTCATGTTGGGTACCGTGTTGTTGCTGTTGTTGTTGTTGTTGGGCAGCTGCAGCAGCAGCGGCAGCGCTAATCTGCTGCTGCATGTGGGAGATGGCTGTGTTTAGATCCATATGGGATGGGATCAGTGACGACGAGGACGAGTCGCCACATGCGGCTGATTCTGAAGTCGATGGTGATGTCGTGAACTGAAACACAAAGTAAGCGAGTTCGTCAGCGCAGTAGGTATACTTCTATAGCATTATTTCTGTGTGTTGGGACTTGGAATAAGTTAAAATCAGATTTCAGAGTACAGTGAATGGACGTTCCCGAATGTCTGAAAAAGGAATAGCCCGCGGCGATTGACTTATTCCACGACCCCCCTCCCTTTCTCATCTCTCCCCTTGATCTGGAATGAAATCGAAAGCCCCCCCCCCCCCCCCATGAAAGCAGAACATACCGCATCTTTATCCTTGAATAACGACATGACCATAGCAGACGACTCCTCCGTAGGCGGTGGTAACGGTGGCGGCAGTGGTTGTGCTTGTGGAGCCTGTGGTGGAAGCAAGAGTGCCGGACTTCCAGAGACTGATGTCATCTCGCTCAAGCCGGTGGAGTTCGTTCCCGACAACGGTGTCGTCTGACGAAATTGTGGCGGTGGAGTTGGCGATGGCACACTTTCCGAATCCAGGCCTGAAATCGAAAGACGGTTTGTTTCGAGATGGGCAATTGATCCCATCGCTCGATATTCGATAAGAGTAAGCGAGCCATCTAAATCAATCATGGGATCATTAGCAAACACCTATCACTGTTTAGCCCATACCTTCAATTATTGTCGAATTTATTCTTCATTGACCATAAAGTAAAATTAGATGTGAAATCTCTAAGAAATCGTAAGAGAATCCTTTTATCACAGATCCCCATCACTGAAGGTCCTCCCATTCAAAAGGATCTCGAGACGGTTGATGGCGAGGCTACCTGGCGCGCCCCCAGATGGTGTATAGTGGGTAAATCGCGAACCAGAGACCACCATGCACTTGTTCCAGAGTGCAGATGTGAGCTCTGAGGCGGTTCAGCCTGCAGCTTGATTTGAGTGCACCAAAGACGGTCCGGGCTGAACAGCCTGCTAAGCTGACATAGCATAGCTAACAACTCAGAGTCCCCAGTACCTATTGAGCGCTTAGAAAGCTGAATCAGTGGATTCCTGTATACCAAGCCTCATTTTCCTGAACCAAAAGGTCCTCGATCAGCGTTGGAAGGATTACTCGAAGAACGTCACGAAAGGCTGCGAAGGTCGGAGAAGAGTGGTCCAGGAAAGAAGTTGGACTAAAGGTAATTTGACGGATGCGGGACAAGAATACCAACCTTGACGTCAACAACTCAGCAACTGATCGGGACCGATAGAAAACTGTCCTGTACACAATGTTTCCAACAAGAATGGAGACGAACTTTCATTTGGTGTGGT